AGGCCACGTCGCCCCCACTATGCCTCGGTGGGTTTGGACCACCGATCTCCCATTGACTGCCCCCAATCCGCACCTCACCTAAGCCCTATCCCTTGCAGTCCTACCCGCAGCCCTCACTCCCACCCCTCCAACCAGACACACGAAACCAACAGCATTGCCATCAGGGTCGCCAACTTCGCTGTTGTTAAAGCGATTTATATCTACCTTCGGTTGGTCAGGTGAATAAACCCATAGTTTTTATATGTGGTTATGTTTACATCCAAAATGGCGAATACTAAGTTTGTAGAATCCCACTGCCTCACTTTCTGGTAGAGAAATTGAGAAAATCAGTAGAAATGTGAGAACAGGCTACGTGTCTCTCCCTCTATGCAGGTTTTTTCCTACGGAACAAAGTGTAGCGCTAACCAAGGTAGCCCTGAATACTCGCCAGACAATTTCCTTTTGAGTGGAGTCAAATGGCGTCCACTCTCAGTGCAATGATCCCATTGATTCAAAAGTACTTTCCCCAGTTTTTGCCTACTAAGTATGTTGGAAAAGTGGAATGCACACAATTAATCGCCGAGGCGGAGGAGGGAGGATTATGCAGAAACCTGTTTTCGTGCAGATGGTAAATGTCAATAAGAAATGGGTTCTTCTAATACAAACTATTTATTATTAGCTAAATGCATTCATTACATCGCCATAAATTTGGGCTCCCTTGGAGAAATTTCGAGCCCTAGGAGTATAATCGACTTTTCAGTTTGGATTGCATCTTTTTCATTCTCATTTATGTATAAAGTTTCAGTAAAAGTTTTTCCCATTCTTCATGTAAATTATCAGTACATTTTCTATTAATAAGAGCAGTGTGAGTGATCCATTCACTCTCTCCAACAGTCTCCAGTGTATTGCGTCCATCGCCTTGTCGTAGGCCCTGGTTACGCTACCTCAAGTTGGACTTTGAAACTATTCTCATGCATTATTCAATTGTAGTTTAAAAAGTTACTCAACTATAAGACATTTGCCAAAACTATACCTCGTAAATAAGCCACTTTGGGCAGTTTGGACGTCTTCAATCAATTTTCAAGGATTTCCATTGATAAGGAAAAAGGAAAAAAAATATTTAAGCACATTTTTTTGTATTAGGAATGTTTTAAATTTACAGATGGAGATAATGTCATCCCCACATGACATCTACGGGTCAAGAATTATCGATTTTTCTCGCCGTCCAAAAAAGTATTGCTATGTGATGGCCTTTTAGGCCTCAATGGTTGTTGGCTTGCGACTTCATTGCGGAGGGTGACTCATCAACACCCTCCAAAATGCATAATAAATTAGGTCATAGAATAAGTAATTATGATTATACTGGACGTGATTCATCCCCTTGAAATGCTAGTTGTTGAATTAGACTGTAGGTCGATTACGTCCACTGCTGAATAGGCTCGTTTAGTACACTCACCCTGTCCCTTGCCACGGTAAGGCCGTACCACAGGACATGATGGCAGATGGGGTAGGCTGGTTGAGCCGGTCGTCAAGGTCCCAAGTGCGTAAGTGCGCCCATGAGGGTCTGTGCGCTCTACTCCGGCTACTAAGGCGTTTGGAGTCTATCCTATGGGGGTTCACGTGTCGCCGAGATTGCAAGCGTGCCAGGTGGGATGCGTCCTTCACCGGTAACGTGGCTGGATGAGTCATCTCTATGTACGCATGGACGGGTGGATGGATGGGAGGAGGGACAGACACACACACGTACGCACGCACGCATGCACGCGTGACGCATCTACTCGTCAGCCGTCGACGTGCGTGTATGCTCTTGCAGCTACGGCCAGGCAGATGCGAGCGAGAGAGGACGTGGCTGGCTGTCCGAGGAACAAAGGCGGTGGGAGATTTGTGAAATCGCCTGTAGGTGCCATATGTCCACAAGAGATCTTCTTCGACCCTCATTTATTATACAAATACACTCCACTTATTTCATGTCCATTACCAAAGGTAATTAGTCAAAAAGACCTGACTTTTATGCTAATGATGCAGCTCTAAATGTGTACTACAAAGGAAATGCGAGAAGCTACCCTTTTATGAGCAAGTTAAATGTCCGAAAGGAATGAAAATTGTATCTAATCTTTTACTACCACAATTTACTGACAGTAAGGTCTTAGGACGTACGTATTCGTGCTCTACTCTCATCAAACGCAACCTAAATCGCTTGGAAAAATCAACTTGTTTTTTGCTTCCATTTTGGATTAAATTCACAGACTTTTTGCTAGCAAAAACTTGACAAGCTTGGCTTAAGTCAATGCTAAATGAATTTAATTCAGCGGCAGAAAGTCGACTTTTTACATTGCCTATTGTTAAAAATGTAGGGGACTTTAATGGTCTAATAGAGAATAAACTTTACCCACTTAATTGCCAAATTACCCCTAGATTCCGCCTCCTCATAACCTAATACCTCTAAATAGCCAAAAAATAAGATCGAAAGGTGTCAACTCCTTGGGTAGTGAGGCGACCATTGCTGGACCCTCTTGAAGGGGCCAGGTAAGTGTTTGAATTAATAGGAGGTTAATTAGGCATATAGGGCAAAGCCTCATCAAGGCAACAAGAGTTGGTTGCCGTGTTATTATGGCATCAAGACCATTCTTTGTACCTAATTAGCCAGCAGCTCGGTTAGACTTTTAAAGCGATTTTGTGCCTAAGGGAAAATCACAAAAAGGGTAAAAAAGAGTAATGTTTAGCTTGATGCAAGTAGGAATACGGTTTAACTCTTACTTAGCTGATGACACAAAATCATGATCAAAATTCCGAGCGGTGATAGACAAGTAATAACTGGGATACTCGAATATAACTACTAGTTGAATTACCTATTTGGGGATTGGCATTCTGAAATCAGGCATATTTGATTATTGACCAAAAGGGAATAATTAGGTGAAGATGCCATCTGTCGGACTAGGGCTACATGGGTTGAGAATTCGACCTAGTTCAGGAGTGTCTTGACGAGCTGACCTTGCTAGCATTAGTCACGCGATTTTGAATATGACCGAGGAGCGAGTGGTGACTCATACTACCACTCGCACACACACACCTGGACGCACATTCACAGGACACGGATAAAATGTGAGCAGGTTGTTTTTCGCGCGTAGAAAATGTTAGCATATAGGCATGGAGCACAGTGATTTGAGAAGACGATGAATTTGAACGAAAAAAGAAATCAAAATCGAATAATTGACTTATTAAAGAGCTTTAAAAACAACTTTGTTTTTAGGTTTTGAGGTATTAGTAAATCCTTGATGGGTCAGGAAAAAAGAAAACGGATGTATGGGGTTGAGTGCATTAGCAACTGGTAAATAGGGCTCTAAAGCCATTTTGCATTAGAATTTTTAAGCTAAAATCGACATACAGAACAAAAACAAATTTATTTTGCACTATGAAAAAATGGAAGCAACTGTCGAGAATGAATAATATCTGTTGATTTTATACAACTCTTCCATCACGTAAATGGAGAAAGTTTTAAAAAATGTGTTTAAAAATAATACAACAATTTTATTTTATCTTACTTAGTTTGCAATTGTTGCGATCAATTTTCGTGTTTGTTTGTATCATTGTATTGTATGTCAACCATATAAAGGTCGTGGTCTCTATTCTTGAATTAGGCCTTAGATACTTGCTTAGTCTCCAAAAATATAGAAACGTCGTCTTGGTCTTACTAACTGGTTTACTGTCTTGCAGGCTCAAGCTTCTACAGTAAACCAATGTAACAGTTAAGAAAACCAGATGATGTAATGTAGTATTCTGATGAGTTCAACTTTAACTACACTAGCATCCGTTACCGGGTGAAATGGCTTGTGCCTATTTCATACTAGCATATTCTGGTGTGTGCTTTTGCAATGCTCACCAGATGGCTATGGTATAACCACCACCTTGCACAATGTCAAGTTTTGTTTGATTGCCTCATTATTGGTCAAGAGCTCCTCCAAAGTGCTATATGAGATCTTGTCCCCGTATGGATATAAATTTATTTGTGCCAAGTTCTTAAATTTATGATCCTTCACTCATCTTCCGGGTTACTATATCCTATTGTAGTGAAGTCAAATTAGTGCACTACTACGTGTTTTGATAGGCCCGAAATCTTATTATTTTATTTTGGATTTGTTTTATTAAAATATAAGTCCCAAATTCCGAAGATATCAGGTACTCCAGCTTAATTAAGGGGATATAATTTTCTCAGCCTATTTTGGGAATTTGACGAGTGATTAGAGCAGTTGGTATTTTAGAAATGATATTTTAAACTGAAATATTTACTCGTCAAGTTTTTAGATCCGGTTTTTTATAAATGTTAAATAGAAGTCTTGTCGAGCGATCGATATCATCCTGGTATGCATAAACATGCAATAGTTAACCACGATTCTCCCCTAACTACCTTTTGATCAACCCTTAAGTCCATTTAAAATAATTGGTATTTAAAATGTGAATTTCTTCTGAAATTCAACTTTTATAAACAACCCTTTATTTGTTTATCAAATCAAAAAGGAAATATACTCTCCTTTTGATTTTTTGTCTATATTTACACGCTCTGCCAATAAAATAGTTTATGCTGTTGACATTTTTTGTCCATTTTAAGATTATGAAAAACACCATTAATCTTGGTGCAGAAGAAGCTGAAGCGATTGATGCATATATTCTCTATTACAGGTAGGATTACTACAAAGATTCCCTACTAAGGTTATCACAGAATTGTAGGTGATGATGACAATGGCCATACCTTTACACCTGCCCAATACGAAGCCTATAAGAAACGCGTGTTTCCCATGGTAACCGCAGTTAAAACAATTGAAGGAATGCTTTAGAGACTGAATAATAGAATCTACGTATCTTGGGTCAATCCTAAGGGTGTGGACTGTTTCCTAACTGGCCCGGAGACCCAATGTTTCTGCACGCATCGTTACAGACAGCATCAAACCGACTTTGCCACGATTCCCCCTGAGAGGCCCATTCCACAGCCCTGTTCCAAATGCAAATGCAAGTCCTATCACATGATGCCAAAGAGTGTGGGCGGTGCTCCTCGTTGTCACTGCAAACACGAGGCAACCGACCACAATGTGGTGAGTCAGTAGGACGGGACATACCACTTCTGTCAAGAGCTGTATTTGATAATTTCAGTGCATTTACATGCTACTAAGTAGATGAGAAGTAGCATACCATTCATCGACGGTGCCAAAAGGTGAAAGGGCATCCTAACGTACACCCTAATATAATATTGCAATTCTCGAAAAAATATCGCCCTTAAAATTTGTTTTAGTGTTTTAAAACTGCAGACTTTGCTAGTGTAAATTTATTGTATACTTGAGGCTACTTTTTTTCGTTGTCGGTCAAAATATGAAATGAGGGAAAACTGGATTCATGAGAACAGAATTGCGAGCACTAAATGAGAAATGATTGATAAAAAAGACAAATTTTTCAATTTTAGGTCACACCCTATGTATGTTCTCGTCCAAATTGCAAGTGCACCGGGTTCAAGACAAGTGTCACCTGTGATTGTGGTTTTCCAGCGTATAAGCACACTGATGTCGTGAGTTAGGAGAATGTATCAGCACATTAAATACTGATAAATTATCCAAACCCCCGGTTTTCACAAAAGCGCTAGAGATTTATAAAAAGGACCCTACGAACCAAGGGACAAGCCGCATTTGCACTGGGCTAGGAGGGGGTGGGAGTTGGGGCTGATGACAGTCCCTGAAAAGAAAGTAGTTTAAAAATGAGTCATCAGACACATCAAACCGCTTAAATTGGACTTGGCAAGGAAGTGTTGATGTAAATTCGGTCAGAATTAAAAATAACGAACACTCTTATGTGACTGAGAAGTTATTGCTGTAAACCGCGGGTACAGTAGGCAATCAACACGACATTTTTTATTGTATCCTCTACTGCTTTCCTTGATTAATCCTGATGGGTGTAGTTCCAAGATGCCTGCTTCACAAGCTGAGGCCGCATGAGGTCTTCATCAAATCTGTTGTAGAGCAATTGAGAGAGTACGCAAAAGTTAAATATCTAGTCTAAATTTGGAAATCTTCGGATTAACAAATAAGGGAGCCTCAGGTAGATCTGCTTATTTTCAGTCGTCAGGGTAAGTAATTTTATCGGATAAGTGTAGACCTGAAAAGTTAAGAAAAGAGTAGGTCTAAACTCAGTATACACACCGAAAATCACATACAGAAGAGTCCTAGACGTCGTATGTTATAAAAAGGAAAAAAAAGTGTGTCTCCTCTATCCCTTGCCAAACAGTCCGAGACAGCAGAGGAGAGGAAGGCGCGCGATCGTCCAATCGGTCAACCGTGTGTGTTTCAGGCCATGGGTGGATTAACGGGTTTCAGCTCTCTCCTACCCGGTATGGCGCGGATGGATGCCAGTGGGGTGGGTGGAAGTCTGACCGAGGCTGAGTTGGACGCTCCCATTACAGCCAATGATCATCCCTTCCTCCGTGCACATGCCGCCCACCTGGGACCTTACCAACACCCCCAGAACCGTCTCGAGGGCAATGCTCAACTGAGTAATTGCGTTCTTTCCTGCTAGGTTAGAGTTAGTGCTTGAGGCATGCAATTTGTCAAAAAGAGGCACATTGTGTTCTGATGAAGTATTTGTTGTGACTTAAGAATGACTTAATTGTATCGGTCAGAAAAGTGAATGTTTCTCATCTAAATCCTCACGTCAAACGGGGAAAAAGATGGTATGTTAGGCGTTGAATTATCTTACTCGAAAGGAAT